GATAGATGAGCCAGCGCAAGAGGTTCCCAATGAGCAGGCTGGCGCATGCTCACCATCAAAAGGAAAGAATGTTGCACATCTAGATGCAACGCTAGCTGTGGCATGCACTGCAGAGGCCCCAGGGGCGACAGACTCGAAGGCGCAGAAGATGGCGGGGGTGACGGGGCACTTTGAACTCTGAGCAGGTGTAACATGTAAAACTGTCTGTATATATATATATATATATTATTATATTTGTATTGCGAGTAGTCCACAGCGACAGGCACTTTTTGAACATGCGCACGTGAAAGCAAAGTTTTGGGCTTGAGTCATATGTTCTCTAGCTTTGCTTGGATGTAGTCCATAGCAAGCTGCAACAGATTGTGGAGTTTCGAGAGTGCAGGAAAAACAAGGCTGGCCGCTCCCTCGCCGCCGTGAGGCGAAAGGCAACGCTGGCCAGGTTGCGCAGAGCAACTTGCACGGACCAGTTTGCGCAGAGCGCCTTGCCTAGAGCAACTTGCGCAGAGCAACTTACGCAAAGCAACTTGCACAGAGCAACTTGCACAGAGCAGCTTGCACAGAGCAACTTGCAGGGAGCAACTTGCACGGAGTAATGTGCACAGAGCAACTTGCAGGGAGCCACTTGCAGGGACCAACTTGCACGGAGCAACTTGCGCGGAGCAACTTGCACGGAGCAACTTGCGCAGAGCAACTTGCGCAGACCAACTTGCACAGACCAGTTTGCGCACAGCACCTTGCCCAGAGCAACTTGCGCAGAGCAACTTGCGCAGAGCAACTTGCACAGACCAGTTTGCACAGACCAGTTTGCGCAGAGCACCTTGCCCAGAGCAACTTGCGCAGAGCAACTTGCGCAGAGCAACTTGCACAGACCAGTTTGCGCACAGCACCTTGCCCAGAGCAACTTGCGCAGAGCAACTTGCGCAGAGCAACTTGCACACACTGCAACCTGCACAGAGCAACTTTTGCTAAGCAAGTTGCGCAGAGCAACTTGCGCAGAGCAACTTATGCAGAGCAACTTGCACAGAGCAACTTGCACGGAGCAACTTGCGCAAAGCAATTTGCAAGGAGCAACTTGCGCGGAGTAATTTGCACAGAGCAACTTGCAGGGAGCCACTTGCAGGGGCCAACTTGCACGGAGCAACTTGCACAGACCAGTTTGCGCACAGCACCTTGCCCAGAGCAACTTGCGCAGAGCAACTTGCACAGACCAGTTTGCGCACAGCACCTTGCCCAGAGCAACTTGCGCAGAGCAACTTGCGCAGAGCAACTTGCACACACTGCAACCTTTTTGCACAACTTGCACAGAGCAACTTGCGCAGAGCAACTTGCGCAGACCAACTTGCACAGGCCAGTTTGCGCACAGCACCTTGCCCAGAGCAACTTGCGCAGAGCAACGTGCGCAGAGCAACTTGCACACACTGCAACTTGCACAGAGCAACTTGCGCAGAGCAACTTGCGCAGACCAACTTGCACAGGCCAGTTTGCGCACAGCACCTTGCCCAGAGCAACTTGCGCAGAGCAACGTGCGCAGAGCAACTTGCACACACTGCAACTTGCACAGAGCAACTTGCGCAGAGCAACTTGCGCAGACCAACTTGCACAGGCCAGTTTGCGCACAGCACCTTGCCCAGAGCAACTTGCGCAGAGCAACGTGCGCAGAGCAACTTGCACACACTGCAACTTGCACAGAGCAACTTGCGCAAAGCAAGTTGCGCAGAGCAACTTGCGCATGTCCCAGGCATTGGGCCGTCCTCGCCTGCGATTTTATGCTTTCGGGCCAACCGTGGTCTAGTTATGACATCCAAACAACACATTGAAAGAAATGTGTCAAATGTCCGTGCTGGCTTTGGTAGTCGTGCCGGAACACTACAAGAATGCAGAGGAAGGAAGATGTAAATCTACAAAATCCGCAAGCAGCTTTTGAAAAAGGCGAATTCGGAGACCAAGGTCACCTACAACCAGCTCTTGCGCGCTGGACGGCTGGCCATGAAGGCTGCCCCTACAACTTTGACGAGAAGCTTGCAGGCAGAGCGTGCAATGGCGCCCTGCCCAAGAAGCTCGAGCGCATGGAGATTTGCAGGCGCTGGCGCTCCTTGCCAACAGACTACTTCTACCCACCACCAGGCCTTCAAGTCTCTCACAAGCGGGCGCGTCAACGGCCATCTCCGAACCCGATCTGAAGGACAGCCAGCGAATTTCAGTTTCTGGCCAAAGTTTTCTAATTCTCTTTTCTAGCATTGCTTGGCTCACCGTGCATGGGTGGCTCCAATCTTTCCTTTTGCAAAGAAGAACCGTGTGAACCCAGGTGAGTCTGTGACAGTTTGCGTGGGTATCATTTGGGGCCGGCTGCGGTTGTGGCACTACATGAAGAACGGCAAGCGGAGCGGGGCAGTCGCTGCCTGCGTGTACCGCGGGCCCATCCTCAAGGCGCTGCAAAAGCACCGTGGCGAGAGGCGCAGATACACCGTGCTGGAAGACAACGATCCCAGCGGGTTCAAGTCGAGGAAGGCGGGATTGGCCAAAACGGAGGTAGGAACCCGCGCGATTCCATTTCCCAAGCACGACTTGTGGAAGACAGAGTCATCAAGAAGCTTAAGGGGCCGACGTCGTTCGTTGCACATCCAAGTGGTTTTGCGCCCAGTGCTTCGGCAGCGCGTGTCGGGTTCTGGGATTGCGGGGCTTCCTTGGCTTGGGTGGCTCGTGACTTCTTATCTAGACCTCAAAACATTCTCAACAAGGACGTTGATTCGCAGCCAGGTTCAATGTCATGGCGGCACCCGTGCTGTGCGACATCGGTGAAGAAGATGGCCGCAAAGCTAGAAGGGCCTACTTGGTAACTCTGCCCCACACACACAGAGCGGTCAGCAATGACGGTCACCGACTGGTGGCTCCTGCAGCCTTCACCTCTGCCCAAGTCGGCGGTTTCTTCTGGCTGCGACGCAGGCGAACCGAGTGGAACATCTTGTCTTCTTGCTGCTGGCCGTCTTCCAGAAGCGCCGCAGCAATGGCCAGCCGCACTTCCATGTGGCAGCGCTAGCCTGCCGGTGCTTTCGGTTTGCGCCTTTGAAGCGCCACCTGCTGCACGCTCATGGTCTGGCTTCGCCATCTGCGTGGGCTACTGCTACTTTCCATCTCGCTTGCCGAAGCCCTGGATCCCAACTTGACAGAGGCAAGTCGGATGCCCATTACAAGCAAAGCTTGGTCCAAGAAGCGTGAGCAGGATTGCAAGGATCGGAAAGCAGCTGGCAAACCAGAGGGTCACCTGCGGGATGTCGACCTGCGGCCAGTTGTTGTTCAGGAGAACATTCTCCAGGCCCAGAGAGCGCGCAACGCTTCATGGCTCATGCCAAACGGTGCGGCGGGCGGGCAACGGCGGACTTTTGCTTCCGCAACTATGACAAGTTGACCGCTCTAGTGGAGAGAAGTTGGAAGGTGGATAATGTCGAGGACGCGGTGAGCTACCACTCCAAGAGCCGCATGGACATCTTGCAGTCTGCACTGTTGGTTCTTGCGAGGGCCAGTGGGCAAAGCACGCAGACAAGGTCCTGAAGCTGAACAGCATTGACCGACGGACTTGGTGTGAGGCCATGCTCACAGCCCTGACAGACAGTCGTGCCAAGGGAACGCTCATGCGCCCTGCACGGGAATGAGGGCAAGAGCTTCTTGCTTCGACCCCTTCTGAAAGTGTTTGTTGCGCCACCAGCTTCCCCTTGATCGGGCTGGAACAGGGCCGCGTTGCATGGCTGGATGCCTGGCGGTGACACCATTCCCTACGCTCTGCAGCTGCTGTGGTTTGAGGGGGGTCCCTTCATTGTGCCCCGTCCACAGAACGCACTGACAGGCAAGAAGTTCTTCAAGCAAGGCGATGTGGACATGATGCTGGAGAGGCTGTGGGTCTTCAAGTTTACAAAGAAGGTGTCCATTCCCAAGGGTGATCTCTGTGCGTGCCAAGTGCTACGTAGACTTCTTGACGGCGGGCGCGAGGGCCTCTGAGCCGGCAGAGCCTGCCTCTGGCCTAGGCCATCTCAGCCCCGTCTTTGAGGAGCCATTGACGAACAGATGCTGCGCGAGTTGGCGCAGGAAGACCTCATCCACAACCTTGGCTTGAAGCCGCTCCAAGCCAAGAAGGTCATGACGAGGTTGTGTCAGCACGCAGGCTGACGCAGAGCATCCTTGCTTTGTGCCACATATCCATCTTCAATTTGACCCTGTCGGTTCAGACGATGTTGCTAAACATCGTTGCTGTGCACCCCTAATCGCCCGACTCACCAAGTACGACTTTGCAAAACAAACCCGTGCGCACCGCTTGCCCTGTTCAGATTTGAAGCACAGTATTGCAAAACAAGACCATACGCACTTATCAGAGCCCGGGTTCTGCGAAGAAAAGGCCAATCCCCCCAAATCCATTGTGACAACAGATGCTGACCCCCTTTCCCCCCAACTTCAAAGTTGGATGTGGCCCGTACTAACAAAGAGCCTGCGGAAAAAACGCCCATTCTGGCTTCAGACATCACAGCATCTTAACAACATTGAAGTTGGGGGCGCGGGGGGGGGGGGGGGGGGGCGCGCGGGGCAGCTAATTGGCTGAGAGTAGATGGGTGCTTTTTTCGCAGAACCCGGTATTGTTGTTTTTCAAGTATGTGTGAGCGTTGCAAAAGTAAAACACATGTTGCGAGTTTAACCTCTCATAATTTTCTACCAGCAAATGTTCGTAACAAAATACGTGAATATACGTGTTTTCATCAGTGCTGTATAACTAGAGACCTTGCACAGCCTCTTGTTGAAGAGCGTAAGAATACGGGGCACACACAGTTTCAACTACGACTAACAAATATGACATACCAACAACGATTTCCTGTGTTTGTTTGCCGTACAATTTCCAGCCATTTGAGCAAGAAATAGATGCATCGTTAGGAATGATTGTTTTATCAAAAATATTTGGAGAAGCACTTGTTAAGAACCACCGCGAGTTGTTTGAAATTACTGACTGGCGTTTATTGAGCATAAGATAAATTAGAAAGGTATTCAATGAATTTGGGGCCGCTACTCGCAGTGTATGGTTCTACTACAGCACAAGATTTTAAAAAAACTCTGAAAACTAGTTAACTATTCTTTTGGGAACACATATATTCAATTATTGGCTGGCTTTTGTTCAATAGGCACGCAGAGCCTAATGACACCACATTTGCTCCGGCATGGTCGTGTCCGCTGTGTGCGTGTGCGGGTGCACGTACGTGCGTACGGGCGTGCGCGCAGGCGTTCACACAGGCATGCGTACGGGCGTACAGGCGTACGTACATCTGTCCGCCCGCAAAATGGGGCGTTGTTTTTGAAACATATTTTCACATCCTTATTTGCACGCACGCTGATTTATATATGTATATATACATATATATATTTATGTATATATATATACACGTATAGTTGTCAAAATTGTTTCATGGAAAAACAAGGCTCCACGGCCCAACTAGCTAAATAGTTGGCTGCTCACCTAGCTAATAGTAATTGCCTGACCGAGGAAAAAGCAAGCAACGGCGTATCCAAATGAGTCACTGCCTTGCTAGCTTCCAATCAGACCCTTCGAAATGATCGCATGTCAACAATAGTCTTCGACTTCAACTGTCCGCTTATCGGCAGGGAGCTAGCAGGCCAGAAGGCAAGGATTGTTTCCCGATTCCTAAAGAGTCCACGGGCCGCAGAGAAAAGGCATGCTTCTAAGGCTGCTGCAATTGCAAGTTTACCAGGAGTGCCAAAGTTGAGTTTGAGCAAACTTTGTTGCAGCTGGCTTGAACATGCGTTTCCGCGAGAGGCTGAAACTTTCAGGGCTACTCTCTTTTCAGATTGAAGGCTGTTTTCCTCCTTCTCGCTACCGAGATTCTGTAGCTGTTTTGATCCCTGCTGCATCGACACGTGGAGTCAACGCGCCACAACCAGTGACGACTGGAAGCTTGCGCATGTTGCCATCGATGGCCGCGCTCCAGGCTCCAAAGGACCAGGTCCGCATCATCATCGAGACAGACAGCAAGACAGGACCATGAAAAGGGTTTGTTCTAGCGTGAGGGCTTGTGCTTGCTGACTTATCCTAAGCAGGCACGCAAAAGGAATCTTGCGACTTGCCCTATGTCCAGCTGAAATCAAGTCCAGCCAGACCAAAGTACCGCTGTGTTAGTTCACGGGGCTGCGCCCGGCACCAGCTGCTGATTATGCTTAAGGCTTGGAGCTTGTCCACCCTCAGGAACTTCTCGTTCTGCATCCCAGCATGCCGAGCACCAGCATCGCCAGCATCATCCACAACTTCTGCGTCCTCTCAAAGATTCGTTTTCTTCGCAGCGGGTCTCTTCTGAAGGCTCCCACAGGACACGGGTAGCGCTTTCCTTTGAGCCTTTTCACGTGTTGTTTTGCTGCTGCGCAACGGTAACAAACAAAGACGACGCGCAGCTGATATTGTGACGTGGAGGTGTGGTCCAGCTGGCCAAACACTTCTTCAGAGCTGTAAAAAAGTTCCCTGGCGTGAAGGAACTTCGTCGTCTGCCCACTGGGAAGGGCAACAGGTAGGAGTTTCCAACACGCCATCTGCAGTCGGCGGGTTCAGCTTGAGATCTACAGAGGTAAAACTGTTTTGCGGCAAGTTGAAGAAGTACGCAGCTCTCTTTGCAAAATGATTAGTCAATGCGCAGGACTTGGCAGAAAGCAGCTACTCGTTCCTTACAACATGACCTTTGGACAGCTTCGACAGCTTCTCTGACGCAGGAAGACGGATGGCCAGAACCAGAAAGGCATCAGGGACCCCTTACTGCAGGACAGCTGCAACCTGGAAACGACCCAACAAAGCATGTTTCTATCAGAGAAAGCTTGCCCAAGACAAGAATATTCAGGCAAATCGGGTTTCAAATGCACGCTGAACTTATGTCTCAGCGTAAAAGGAACTCACTCTTGTTGCGAGGTTTTGTCCCCAAGCACAGCTCAACTGCACAGGGAAAGTGCACAGAGAAATGCGTAGCGAAATACATAGAAAAATTGCTCAGGGAGAGCGCGCAGAGAAATGCATAGAAAAATTCTACAAGGAAATGCAAAGCGAAATACAGAGGGAAACTGCACAGGCAAAGAGCACAGAGAAATGCGTAGCGAAATACATGGGGAAATTGCACAGGGAAGACACAGGAAAAGTGCACAAGAAACCTGCACAAGGGAAAGTGCACGGAGAACGGCATAGCGAAAGTTATGGGAAACTGCGCAGGAAAAGTGCACAGGGAAGTGCGCAAGAAAGTTTGCAAGGCTTCGAGCACGCATCGCACGAAGAAACTTACACGCGAGATTAAAATTAGTGGCGCAGTGGGACCGAACCCACTCTGCGAAAAGAACAACCTCTGCGGAGATCAGCGTGGTCGATGAAAAATCCTGATGACTTTGCGCGGTTCGCGCGCGACCCTCTGCGGAGATCGGCGTGGTCGAGGTAAAAAAACTGAGAACATTTTTGCGATTTTATCATGCCCGCGCGTTCCTTGACCGTAGCGTTTCCATGTTTCAAAGCAAGGAGCCCAGCCCCTTGCGCAGGGCAACTTACACTAAACGACTTGCGCAGAGCAGCTTGCGTAGAGCGCTTGCACAGAGCAAGTTGCACAGGGCGACTTGCACAAAACAACTTGCGCAGAGCAATCTGCAAGGAGACAGAAACTGCTTGAGAGGTAGCTTGCGCAGATAGATAGATTCAGAAGATGAGATAGCCGAGTGCGAAAAGATAGCTCTTGCGGATAGCTTACAGAAGATGAGACGGCTCATGCGAAATAGATGTCGTCGTGCAGGTGCAACTTTCGCATGGCGAGGTGTGGATTTCGTGGCAGGCGCAGCACTTTCACAAGGAAGGGAAAGGGAAAGAGCGCGGGAGAGACGAGAGAGAGAGAGAGAGACAGAGAGAGAGAGAGAGAGAGAGAGTGAGAACAAGAAACAGAAAAGGAGAGAAACAGAAAAGGAGAGCAGGAGACAAAGAGAGAAAGAGAGAAAGAGAGAAAGAGAGAAAGAGAGAAAGAGAGAAAGAGAGAAAGAGAAAGAAGAGAGAAAAGAAAGAAGAAAGAACAGAGAAAAGCAAGAGAACGAAAAGAGAAAAGCAAAACAAAGAAAAGAGAAGAAACAACAAAAAAAGAGAAGAGAAAGAACAGATGCAAGAAAGAGAAGGAGAAAGAGAAAGTGCTTTGCACGAACTGCGCCGCGCGATTTCTCAGGAAAGTGGTCTGCGCAAGCTGCATTGTTCCAGGCTGCTGCGCGCAAGTTGCTCTCTGCAAGCTGCTGCACGCAAGTGCTCTGTGCAAGTTGCTCTGCGCAAGTGCTACGTTTGTACTTAAGAGCTGCGATTTTCAAGCCGAAGCTGCCGCGGACCAGGGGGGAATCGAACTCGCGACCGCGGGATTGCGAAAGCAGGCGCGCAAACCACGAGACAACTTCCAAAGGCCACTTCACGAGCAACAAAACCGCACGGTGCCACAGCGAGAGCGCTTCGAAACGCACGATCTCCGCAGGGGTCGCGCGCACCGCAAAAAAACGCCAAAAACCTAGAGTTTTTGCACCTCGACCACGCCGATCCCCGCAGAGGGTCGCGCGGGCACCGCAAAAAACGCAAAACAACCACGAGTTTGTGCACCTCGACCACGCCGATCCCCGCAGAGGGTCGCGCGGGCACCGCAAATAACGCAACCTTGAGTTTTTGCACCTCGACCACGCCGATCCCCGCAGAGGGTCGCGCGGGCAGCGCCAAAAACGCAACCTTGAGTTTTTGCACCTCGACCACGCCGATCCCCGCAGAGGGTCGCGAGTTATTTGCACCTCGACCACGCCGATCCCCGCAGAGGGTCGCGCGGGCACTGCAAAAAACGCACCCAAAAACAAACACGAGTTTTTGCACCTCGACCACGCCGATCCCCGCAGAGGGTCGCATTCCCGATCGTCAGCAACATCCCCACCCCCTGCCTTAAAAGAGATTCTTAATACCGAGCTCTTTCTCTTTCTTTCCCGCGCGTTAAGTACTTAACCTAACTTTCTTAACCTAGCTTACACAGCTGCTACCGGCGAGCCTCTACACCTCTATGCACCTATGCTGGTGACTCCATGCTGGTGACTCTGTGCAAGCATCTCCATGCTGGTGACTCTGCGCAAGTATCTTCATGGTGGTGACTCTGTGCAAGTATCTCCATGCTGGTATCTCCATGCTGGTGACTCCGCGCAAGTATCTCCATGCTGGTAACTCTGCGCAAGCTACTCTGTGCTAGTAACTCTTTTTCGCATGCGCGAGTATCTCCATGCTGGTATCTTCATGCTGGTGACTCTGTGCAAGCTACTCTGCGCAAGTTGACCAAGAGCTTGGTATCATCTCCATGCTGGTGACTCTGTGCAAGCTACTCTGCGCAAGTTGGCCAAGAGCTCCGCATGGAAGAACCCTTCGCAATGCTTTCGGGAAAGAGAGAAATAGGAAAGAATGAGAAAGCAGAGAAAGAGAAAAAGAAGAAGAAGAGAAAGAGACAGAGAAAGAAAAACAGAGAGAAAAGAGAGAGAGAGAGAGAGAGAAACAAAGAGGAGACAAAGGCAAGAGAAAGAGAAAGGGAGAAAAAATGAAAAAGAGAAAGAGAAAGAAGAAGATAAAGGAAAGAGAGGGAAAAGAAACAGAAAGAAAAAAGAAAGCGAAAAGAATGAGAAAGCCGAGAAAGAAAAAGAGAAGAAGACAAAGAGACAGATGAGGAGAAACAGAAAGAAAAGAGAGAGAGAGAGAGAGAAAGATAGAAAGAAAGAGAGAGAGAGAGAGAGAGAGAGAGAGAGAGAGAGAGAAAGAACGAAAGAGAAGATAAAAGCAAGAGAAAGAGAAAGAGAAAGAGAAAGAAGAGAGCGAGGCCAGAGATCAATGGGAACTGGCGTGCACTTGTCGGCATGGCTCGAGGATCCCATGCGTTTGACGCATGCAAGGGCACATGTGTGCATTCGCAGACAAGAGAGAAGAAAGAGAACTATAGCTTTTATACTTCTTGACACTTTCCGACCACCACCTTCGCCGGTTCTATGTTAGTTCTAACAACTCGAACGAGCCCAATGATTTTCAATTGGCCAGGTGCCATTTGGGGAAGTATTGATTCATTTGTGCTGTTCATTTTAATTCTCATGATTCTTCTATCTACTTCATCTACGTGCATCGGGACGGCTGCCTTTTGTCCGGGTGCTTCTGTTCTGAAAATTCTGGCTGCGCCAAGCATTCTCAACGGGAACTTTCTAGTGATTCAACGTCTGATAACTGTTCGTTCCCAATGAGGCGCGTGCCTTGCGGGGAATCTTGCTTTTCCAATCCTTTATTCTCTCTGGACGTTTTCAGAGACTTGAATGTGCTGTCTGTCATCTCCATCATGTTCTCGTGCACTGTGATGTCTACCTGTAGATTGATAAAACTGCGCAAAGCTTGATGAGTTCTTCTTCATAACCGGGAGAAAACAGAGTGGTGTGTCAACCTGTCTTGTTTGATAAAACTGGTCACCGAGCTTGATGAAGTCCTCCATAGGTGGCAAAGAAAATGCAGAATGATAGGCGAGCCTGGCGTCCCTGATGTTCTGGTCTGCCGAAATGTCCCTCTCTCTCTCTCTCTCCCCAGAGCAGCCGCAGCGCTTTTTGTGTTACGTGGTACCTCCGCGCTCGAAAAGCGACTTGCGAGGAGCCGTGGAACCGCACTTCCTGTAAACCACTCCGAGCTCGGGCTACGCAACGTACTCCGTACTACTTGCAAGACAAAAAGAACACACTCGGTTCCCGCAGAGGGTCAGCCTGCGAGCTTCCCAGCTCGCGCCGCCACTGCGAGAGTGCTTCGGCGCACGCAGCCGCAGAGTGTGCGTCAAGAAGCTCCAACATTCGCACGGCGCCGCAGCAAGAGCGCTTCACCACAAGCGACCGCGGCAGAGGGTCATCCCGACGGCGCCTGTCGATCCAACCCCGCACACAGCTGCGCAATGCAGAACTGAGCTGCGCAGCGCAAGGCTGCGCAATAGCAGGGCTGCGCAGCAAGGGTTATTCAGAGCTGCGCAGTGCTGGGGGCTGTGTTGTGATGCGGCGCGCAGCAAAGCTATTTTGAGAGACACGGCACAGCAAAACCTATGTTGAGATGTGCTGCGAAGCAAGGTGTGTTGAGATGTGCTGCGAGCAAGGTATGTTGAGACTTGCTGCGCAGCAAGGCAGGGAAATTGCTGGAGGACAGCCTCTATGACCACATGACGAAGCTTGGGCCGCCTCACTGCCCAACTTGCGCCTCACCAATCAGCAGGGTCTTCGCTTGTGTTGTGGTGACACCCATTGACCTGGCAAGAGATGAAGAGCTGCAAAGACCAGCAAAAGTTGCAGTTAGATTTCATAAGGAAGTGTTGTGTTTTTTAGGTGGGAATGGCGTTTGAGCACGCTTCTTCACAAATAAGAGCTGCGTGAGAGTGAAAATATGACCGAATCCACTCACCGTGACTCATGAACCAAAACCGAGGAATCTGGAGCGCAGAGAGCCAAATAGCGCGGTGCCAAGAATGCTGCTTGGCAGGGAAGGGAAGGTGGCACCGTTACAGGGCAGGAAGTGAGTTGGCACTGGGCCAGCGATTAGCGATTCGATTGAACAATGTCGACCTCTTGCCGTCGCGTTTGTCACCTCTTGCACATCGTCAGTCGCAACTCCATGTAGCACACTCCTTAAAGCCGGCTTCTGCGAACACACATGCCTAACAAGTTTGAAAGATCACCCCGGCAGCGAAGCCTCAGTCCTGCAACCGCAAGGAAATAATCGCTGCCCCCCCCAAAAAAAACAAGTTGAAAGGGGGCGCGCAGGGTAGGGAGGCTTCAGGCTGGGGTTTCAAGGTTCAGGGATTAAATGGAACAAGTCAATCATTTTGTTAATTTCAACAATGGGGTTTCTGAGGATTTCTCTCAAATTTCTGAACATGTTTACTCTTTTTCCTTTTGATAACAGTGTAAGATTTTGACATCTTCAAGGTTCAGGTCTCAGACCAATTTAATTCCTTCTGGGGGATAGAGGTATTATAACTGTAAAATAATACGAAACAACTTTTTAATTTGTTCCATATTCAATTTCAACAGCAATATTATTTGAATAACTCCACATACCACACTCAGCAATACTGTTCATATCCTTTTTAATGAATACAATATGTTAACACGTATGCAACTTCAACGATGTATTTTTACAATACAGCCTGGCATGACATTTGTATCTTTTTAATTTTCTTCTACGTCTTTTCTATTGGCTTTCTATATCTGTTGCTATCACAAGAATGTAAATGTAGTTGGGAACTATAATTGTTAAACAGTTCTCTAAAATACAAGAACTGTAATTCTGCTTTTTCAACCCCTCATCAAGCAAATCTATACGTTCCATGAATTACTCTTCCTGTTCTTTCAATCAACGACATTTAAAGCAATCCGTTTTTCCACACTCACCAATAGCATTACAAGAGTAACAGGTAAACTGTTTGCTGCTGCCACAACGTTTTCACATCTCGGTTTTCAAGGCCATCTACTAAAATTAAACAGTGTCAGTCTCTCTTGTTATATGAACGAGTCATGTCTTTAAGTAGTTTTACTCAAGTCAATCAATGTTATGGGTTGTTGTTATGGATGCATGTGCTTAATTATCGTTAAATAATACAGACGAAACAGTAAAGAGTAAAGATTAATTCTTCGCTTGATATTGAGCCAAGAGAATAGGTTTTGTCATAGACCAACTGATATTCTTATCTTCAGTAGTAAAAAGTCCTGCTCTATGAACAGTTGTTTTAATACATCAGTGGTTAAATAAAATTCAGTCGTGATTGGACAACAGATAAAGGTATCCAGCTTTCTCACTCACTCACACACGCAGAAACCGGCTGTATCAATTGGTCGGAGTTCGTGATTTGCTGCTGCGTCTGTGTTGTTTAGAGTAGGTCCTAATAAGAACGAAGGAAGCCACAGCCATTGATTAGGTGGTCCAGTAATGCTAAATCTAATTGCAGAATTTGTGTCAGCACTGTAAGTTTAAACTGATGAAGAATAAAAGTTCTTTTTCCTTTTGCACGAACGTATGAACCGCCATCTTTTAATTTCAATATTAAGTTCTTTCCGACTAAAACATCTAAAGCTTAATGGTAGAAAATTGATATGACATCTCTCTATTATTTAGCTGATTCATGTTGAAATGGAAATAATCTTGATTTTTCCAAATATTTTAAGTTTTTGTACTACTTGTATGTTCCTTATTTTCAAAACCATCTTCTACAATCTTTTACACGTCATCATGACTCGCTTTCTTTTTGGATTTATAGTGTGTTGAATATCTTTAATATTGTCAGGCATTACATATGAATATATATGTTAATGTTGAAGTTCTTGCCTGCTGTTGGTTGCTTCCCGTGGTCAAACTAGCCAGTCTGATAATCGTGATTTATCAAGTGATGTAAACTTGCAGTAGCAACAGCTCTGGTACCCCTATCTAATATTCATATTGGGTCTAATATTCTTCTCAAAACAGTACAAGTATCATCAATTTTATTTGACATTGAAACACACAGAGCACCATAAGTAGTTAGTCTCATATTTCTGTCAGGTTTATTTTGTAGATATTTAGCACTTGCGCTACTACCCAATGAATGTGAAATAGTTTCAGTAACATTATGGTTTTCATCAGTTGTACTGCTAACATCTCTACACCTTTCACTGTATGAACTTAAACCGAAAGGAACTGTACCATCAGAAGCAATGCTACAAATACTATGAAGTTGAAGGAAATACTAAAAAGTAATACGGGCACGAATTTCTTGCAAACATTGAGAAAAAGCAAATACGTTTAGATGAGTCTTTGTTTCATCTTCAGCACTATACTAAAAACATATTTTTGGAGTAATGACTAACTATCAGTTTTGGTTCGTTAAGTAATGATAACATATGCTCTCGACAGCGTTCTGATACGCTCTTTCTCTGTGGATTCTTTTGCATCTGTTTGTCCTGAAACGCTTTGCCATATGAGACTTACTTTTCATCATACACTCGTTTCTTTCACATTCTAAGGACTTAGCATGTTCTTTGTAATATGTTTGAAGCATCCTGCTTCTTTATATTTCTTATTCAGGAGACCGTTGTATGTTTCATTGTTCTCTTTCTTTTGCCTTCTTAGCTTCTTCTTCTGTATCCGTTGAGAAGTCGGACACTTCGCCTTCTCATGAATTCCGCAACATTGAATTCGTCATTTGTCATTGAAGCTTTACTTTTTCCACCACCTACAATAAGACTTGCTCATAGTTCTCCACGTTGAAATCTGCCACTGCGCGTAGGGCAAGGAGTTTTTATTGTCCTTTTGCCATCTTGCCATTTCACAGGCGCAAAGAGCTTGTGTTGTTTGACGTACGCTGTATACTATGCTGTTGAATGTTACAGAGTCACAATTATTCCCAAATAGTGTTTACACTAAGGGGTTCTTACAGTACGAGTTAAGGCGGGTATAGACCGAGGTTCGCAAGTTTTAAGTGCAAAAGTACGTGAAGAACTTTAAACCGCTCCGGCTGCAAAATCACAACTTTTAAGTGCAAAAGTGGTGCGCGAAGTGCAATCCCATGGCTCCGGCCACAGTTGCACGCGAAGTGCATTCCCGCAGCAGCTCCAGCTCCGGCTGCAAAGTCGTAGGTGTTTTCGCGCAAAGGTAGCGTGCGAAGCGCGCTCTTGCAGCTCCAGCCCGAGCATCGCAACTTCATGATCGGAAAGTGCGCTCTCGCATCTCCAACTCGAAAATCGCAACTTGCAAGCACAAAAGTAGTATGCCAAGTACACTTCTGCAACTAAAGCCGCCAGCCTCCTTGCGCAGCCAAACTGCACGCAGGCAGATATGGACAAGAGAGGTTGACAAGAGAAAGGGACATGCAAGATTGGGTGAGAGAGGTTCCACAACATCATGCACGAGAGGGACCGTCACGCATGGCATCATGAGCAGCATCACGCACGGCGTCGTGCGCAGAGTCAAGCGAAGCATGGTGTGCAACATCATGCCTGCGCAGCATCATGTGCAACATCAAGCGTAGCTTCACTCGCAGCAGCGTCAAAACACAGCGTAGCGCGCAAGAGAAGATGACAGGAGAGATTTGATCGAAGCGCGGCGCCAAGCTTGCTCATCAGAACTTGCAGAAGCTACAAAGGGACATTGATCTGTTTACGCTTGTTTCTCGCCTGTAGTGGGAGAGGTGTCAGAGTTTATTTAACGTCTTTCTATGCTTCCGGGCTACCCGTCGTCAAAGGAAACCCAATACTATTTAGGGCCTTTTGTAGCTCAACTGAGACTTCACTTTATGTTTGACTACCTGAAGGATCAAAATAGGGTAATTTTACTACACAAAAAATACATCATTGTTGTGTAGTGTTCTTTGTGTAGTATGGAGTGATTGTGTGTAGATTTTTTGTGTAGTAGTTTGGAATAGTTGTGTAGTAATTTGTGCATTTTTACAACACATTCTTGTGTAGTACTTTGGCCAAAATAACATTTTTCGCTGTGTAGTAATTGTTGTGTAGTCTTTTTGTGTAGTATTTTTTGTGTAGTAATTTGGGTGCGTAGTAAAATCTTGTGTAGTAAAATTGCGTAGATGTTAGCAAAAAAAGCTGCCTTTTCCTCTTTTTGTTCATGTGTTTTGGCTGTTTTCCGTGCAATTGGTTGGAACAAAATGAGCAGATGTTTCGCTCGTTTTTGCAAGACACAGTTTCACAATTGTTCTCGCACGAACGAATGGCCGCGAGGTTTTGGCTATATAGCAGACATCTAGGTTGGCTTGCGGCATCATGGATTTGCAACCACGGGCAGCCCGTCCCAAGTGACAAAGCTTGTCTAAGCCGCTGACTGGAAATCATTTTGCCTTATACCTTGACAGGACGGGCTGTTACGGCTCCATGTGCGCCATGCGCTTCCAAATTTGCCATGTTTCTTTAGTTTACAGAGACGCGCAGCTCAGCCATGATGATTTGCAAAGACTGCATTTGCGACCTGTTGGTTCCGACTGCGGGGGCAGAAGAAAAATGTCAATCACCCTGACCTTCGGATGACTGCAAATGACGGCGGCGCGGGAGGCGAGACATTCGTGTGAGGAGGTTTCAGCCACAGATTTCACAAGCAACTCTGCACAAAATGGCGTCGTTCAAAATAGAAGCAGTTTGCCGAATTTTGGATTGGTCAAACCATGCGTTTCCCGTGCATGCGCGGCCCTTGTTATGGACCATTATTCTTGTTTCATGCATGTGTGGAATTATGCTCAAAGAAATATATATATATATACTATAGGGGGTGAAAACTTTTCAGCAAATTTAAGCTTTTGTGGTGGCAACCTCTGGCCCATCACACATATTTACACAAAATCAACAGTCCAGCTGTATCATCCGTTTCTGCAAGCTATGTTAAAACCGATATAGGGGCCCATAACATGAGATTCTTTCAAAGTGTGTGAGGTTTGGCCGGGATCTGACTCCTGCAAACTCCCACAGAAGCTTCAAACCTAAAGCGCCGTT